GTTTAATTTCACAATCGAATGCTCGTGCCTGGCCCCGAGGAACCCAGCCCAGCCTGCCTTCTCCGAGCACGCTGGCAGCAGCAGATCCCTCAGCTCAGCTTGCAAAGCTCAGGCAAAGGGAACTTCACACCTCTCACAGATGATCCCATGCAGCGTGCAATAGCTGCACGGGATTTGGGCAGGGATCAGCCTGGATCATCCACAGCTGTGCTGCCGGGCATTTGCAAAGCACATAGCAGTGAGGTGCCTTGGTGGTCACCCTGAAATAAAGCCATTTCTGAAGCAAAGAGGTTGCAGCAGTCAAAAAGCAGCTACCTTCTCCACCTCCCCATCCTATAACATGGCACCGTGGTACCCTAAAATGCAAAGTGGTCCTCCCCCTCAGCACGTGGAAGCCACAGCAAGAGCACGGACCAGGGATAGACAGGAGGGTCAGCCCTGCAGAGCCAGGGCAGCATCCTAGAAGCTACTATGTCCAGTCTCCAAGCTATTCTCACCTATGCTCCAGAGACTGGGAAAGCCACCAGAGACCACTAGAAGTCAGAAAATACCAGGCTGCAACTTTGTGAACAAAATGCATTCACTGGCTTAACACCCACATAATTAAAAGCAGGCACATCCCTCGGTAATCGCTAGCACAGGGATGTGCGTGGTTGCGTGTTTGCTTTAGGGGGCCCGTGATACTACCTACAAAAGCAAAGCTGACCACCAGTCCCTCTGCAGAATGAGGCTGCTCACAGGACTGATGAAATGCCCAGCTCTCCCTGCCTTGCCCCGAAAATCTCCTTCTCTTTCCATCAAAACAGGAATAACAGTAGCCGTCCACTGCTACTCTGAGGTGAGCATCACCCTCTGGGTACACTTGGGTGCTGAGGGGACAGATTCAAACCCTTCTGGCAATTCAGAGGGCTCTGAGAGTGGTGGGGACCTCAGCCATGATGGAGGAGAGGATGCTTTTGCTCACACTGATGCTGAGAATTACAACGGGCACTGCTCTCCGTGCTCATCCACCAGCCAACTCCCCGGCTCCACCTGGCTCCTACTGGTCTTTGGCATCACTGGTGGCAACTCTTACTGCCCTCTCCTCATGGGGCAGAGTGAACTGACTCAGTATATACATAATTGACTCGATGGATAAAAAGCAAGGAGTGAGAGCAGCTCCAGAGTAGCCCCCAGTCCCTCCTCTCAAAGGGGGACCAAACACCCACCACCCAGGTTTGGGCCAGTGGAGGTCCTGGCTAGAATTGCTTCCAGCATTGGGGCAAAGCCTCCTCATCAGCCTCAGCCAGCATTTCTTGTGCCATTTCCCCCACCAGTTTCCCCCTCACAGGGTGTGTTGCATAGTATTTAAATGCAACCAGGTCTGGGCAAGCCAGATTTCAGTTGATCCCATGTCCCCTCTGTAAGGCAACGCTAAGAGAGGGGTCACGATCCCTCCACCAGCTGCTGCAAACGCAGCCACGACTAAAGCACACATCATTTATTGCAAACACTTACTGCCTTCCTCCTCCAGCCTTCCCTGAGCTGGGAGCAGCAGAAAGCGATCCCCCCTGGGAAAAAGAAAGAGGTTTCCCACATAATGGGCACCAGTATTAATTTTTCCATCTGCTGCAGCTTTCCTTTCGTTCTGTGACTTTATGAACATGACTCGATGCTGGCAGCAGCCCCGCAGGGCATTGCAAGTCACCTGAAGGAAAACAGCTTTTTCCAGCACCGGATTCTGGGCTATCTCCCAGACGGAGGGCTGCAGTCCTGACCATGCAGGGCCGGGCTGCCCAGACAACTCACAGCCACGCCGCCGGATCAGCGGTGCCTCAAGAGGGCTTCGATGACATCTTTAGGGTGTCACGGCTAATTAGAGCCCTGACTATACCCTCTAATTAGGTAACACCTTCAGACAAATCACCCTCTCCTCTTCAGACCACGTCACGCCTTCGGATACAATCCCTAATTGACTTAAAAGTAGACTCGGCACTTCTTGCCGGACCTCCTTCCACTTCACAAGGCATTTCAAAATAAATAAACCCCTGGTCCTCAGCCCTGGCTCAGAAACCAGCTGGGGAAGTGCCTTTGCATCCGCACAGGCATGCACCCGCACGGCTGGACACAAAACCTCCATCAAAGGCACAAAGCAAATGCACTGACGCGGCGGCATCGTCCTCCTCTGATCTCTCATTTCCAGCCATCCCAGTGCTACTTTCAACAACAGTCAGCAAAGCCTTTTCTAGGAGAAAGGGAGTATTTTCGATGTGTCAGTGTCCTACTAAAAATATTGCCTGGGGGCTTGCAAGAGAAGTGATTCTCCAGCAAAGGAGCCTGGTATCTGGTGACAGAAGGCATTAAAAAAACCTAACCATTTAGAAATTAATACGCCAGAATGTTATCAAGCGTCAACATTTCAATCCAGCAGCTTGATTCCTGTTTTCATTAAGTAATGAATAAACTGAAACGATCTGAATGTTTTCAGTTTCCTACTAGCGCAAAATTTTAAGTAGATAGGCAAAAAAACCCCCACCATCGTAACAGCAAACATGCTGAACAAAAACTATCAAAATTCATAGAAGATAAATATTGAGTCCGTCCTAGCCTGCGAGGAGAACAATGTCTCTTTCTTTGCTTTCCGTGAGGTTTGTTATAACAAGAGAGAGAGAGAGACTCCAGTATACAGTGTTTTAATATACATATATGCATTCACAGCTGGAATAATAGATTTTAAGGACAGAAGACAATATTACAGCTGAATGTATGCAGAAATGCATAAACATACCTTCAAAAACACATTCTTTGCACCCTACCCAGATATATACATGGATACATATGTATTATATATATATATACACACACACCATGTTTCAGATCGATCAGAACCATTCATTTAAACCAGACTCTCTAAAGTTTCTGCTGCTTTGGGAAAACATGACCCTGAGGAGACATCATGCATGAACTTAACATCCAGCAGAAAATGAAACCATAACACGCTTCATCTTGAAAGCCAACCCCGAATCTAACTTAATCCCTGCTCTGGACAATGCCTCCGGAGAGGCATTAAAACCATGCGAGGTGTTTTCCTGGATTTCCCAAATTCCCCGGAGACTCCCTGGCACTCTGGCTGTATCCACCTCCTCCTCCTCGCTTCGGAGAGGCTGCTGGCTGAGTGCTCCCATCCTTATTCCCACTAATCCCACGGACGGACCCGGTGGAGAGCTGCGTCCTGCCCCTCGCCGCAGGACGAGTTACCCGGGGGGGGAAGCCCTTGGGGCTCGACACTCGGGGACGATGGGGGGGACGATGTGCGGGGCTTGAAGGGTCAAAAGAGCGGGTTTGCATCCTCCATCCATCCCCATCCCCGACACAGGGATTCCAGCAGATCTCGTGCCCCCTAGTGTCACCCTGGCGAACGGACCGGCACCGGGCACCGGCACCGGGTACCACCTGGCCCGGGCACTGCCTGAATTTATCCCACCTGAATTAATCCTGCTGGTACCCACCGTGCAATTAAATGCCACTTCCAACAGTTCAGGTGAAGGGCAGCCTGAGCTCCCTGCCCCCTCCCCCCCCGCCCCTTCCCAGGGCAGCGATAGCCCCCCTCCCAAAATGTCCCCGTGGCCGGCACGGTGTCACCTCCGTTAAGATCCCCCCAAAAGCCTCAGCAAGATCTGCCCCACCGGCAGATAGCCCGAGCGGTGTCCCTGGAGAGGGGCCAAGAGGAGGAGGCAGAGAGCATCTGCGGTGGACACTGTCCAGAATACAACTCCTCCTAAAAATAGATGGTCCCTGGAAGGGCACGGTCCTTCCAGCTAATGGGAGCACTCGGTGTGAGGAGCTCAGGGTGTCCGGAGATGACAGAACCTCCAAGTTCATGATTGCAGGACACCGCTGCCCTTTGCACAAAGCCCCCCTTTCTCCCCCCGGGAGAGTACCTGTGGCATCTGAGCCACCAGCAGGAGAAACGATGCAGAAAACCAGCCCAGAACCCAGCATCCCTGCCTGCCAGCCTGCTCCCACCAAGCAACAAGATCCAGTATCTCCTGGGAAAACGCCCACGCTGGATGCAATACTAACAGGCACAACTGGGACCGGACCCCCCACACCTGCACAAAGTGGCACGTGATGGACAGGAGCACAGGAAACGTGCTCTCAGCCCGTGCCTCAGTTTCCCCCATTTGTCCAGCAGCCCCAATGCAGCTCTCCTTCTCTTATTTTGCTCATCCCTCCTCCTTTGACTATCAGCTCTTGTGGGGAGAGGCAACCCCACAGACAGCACCAAGAGCCCCGGCCCCTTCCAGCAGCATGCAAAAAACCCTCAGCACGCAAAAACCCCTCAGCACCTCATCGCCAAAATTTGGAGGAATTCTCCCCAGGGCACTGACCTGGGTATGCTGCTTTCTTCTGCAACACCGAGCAGGGACTATAGCTTAGAATAATGGGGAAGTAACTCAGTTCAGTGCTGACAAAGCATCACAAGCCCCAGCGGGGTGGGAGGGGAGGAGGTGTCCTTCCCTCATGCTGCCATGCCTGGTATACATCATGTTTAGGGCCAGGCATACGTCACCTACACAAAATGGACAAATTGGAGGGATTTCAGAAAAACGAGCGACAAAAATGATCAGGAGGCAGCAGGGATTGATTTACAAGGGGAGATTAAAAGAGCTGCGATCAGTCTAGCTGGGCTGACCGGGTACTGACAGAAGCAGTCGGATGCTAATCTGCAAATGGGATGAAAACGATATGGGAAGGAATAATTTAGCACCTTCAGCCGTAATGGGATGAAATTAAGGGGAACCGAGTAGGGAGGTAGAAACAACAACCAACAACCCAAAATAAAACTCCTTCCCTAGTTCTGCCTGACTTTGTCTCTATCAAAACACGCAAACTCCCCGAAACTCTTTCCGCCAGGGACAAGCACCCCTGGGAGCAACCGTGCCTCGGCGGCTAATAAGGTGTGCACACACACACACACACACATGCACACACAGAGCCCTTTCCCCCCCCTGACTCACGCTCAGGAAAGCAGCAGGGCCTCCACGTTAACTCGAGAGGATGGGGGCTTCACGCTTGCGGGAAAGGCAGCGGAGAGAGAAGGCTGAACCCACTGGGAGCGGTGGGAAGGTCCCCGCAGAAGGATGCCTTTGCCCTCCCAGGTCTTCGCAGGGGGAAAGGTGCTGAGACGGCTTCCTGCAAAGTCACAGGAGTGAGCTCAGCTGCGATCACTCAGATATTTACACACAAACAGCACATTACTCAGCAACTCCCATTTGTCAGGCGTAATGGCAGCGGCAGCAGTAATAAACGACAGAGCCGAGAGACAGGCTCCCCAGGCGCACACCCGGACCCAGCCTGAGCTGGAGCGGGATGCATTCCTCCAGCTTGCTGGGGAATTAAAATTGAGAGTGGTCAGGAGCCGGGGCTCACACCCACAAAACTCCTGCTGCCGGCTTCGGAGAGTCGGCCACGTCTCCGAAAACTGAGCCTCGGCTGCACAGTTATTTCTATGTGTGTTTGCATCATGAGCTTTGCAGCTCCGAGAGGTACTAGGGCTGCTTCTTCTCCTAGTCCAGGAGGTGCTGAGCACCTTCCATGGGGATGGGGATGCAGCACCTTGGTGGGATCAGGTCCTCTCAGAGTAAGTCGGACCAAAGATAACGCACGATCGTCAGATCGTGGCTTGGCCTGCTCTGACAACAGGCTCTGATGAAGTTATCCTAAAGCTCTGTTGCAAAGAAGTCTGCCAGGCATGGGGCTCTCTCTCATTTCCAAAGCACAGCCCGTCTCGGAAAAGTCCACCCTCCCCAGTGAGCTCCGTCCCACCAGCAAGGCGCCTGGTGGGACAGGAGCATCCCTTGCACATCTCCAGCCATCACGGCAAAGCTGTGACTCCTCACGGAGGGGCAGGGCAGGGAGCAGGAACGGCTGCTCCCACATATTTGCACGTTTTGCAGGAAGCAGCCCCGTGCCCCTGCCTCCCTGCCTGCACACACAGCCGGCAGGACCCGTGGCGGAGGGTTGCAGGTCCTGTCCCTCACAGAGGTAAACACCACGCACGCATGGAGAGCGGGCATGGTCAGAGTTAAATTAGCAAAATCCTAGCAGAAGTCAGCAAGCTCCTGAGCAAAAAGCAATCTGAGGAAAAGAGCTCCCGGACTATCCCATAAATTGAAACACAAAGGGACGTGAAAAAGAAATCAAATAGCTTTGCAGGCAATCCCTTTTCTGGAACCTGTGCTCTGTACAGACCCTACACATGTGTCTGTAAGCATGGGGTGGGGAAGAAAGGGTCTTTCTAAGAGACAGAA